TATGCAGTGTCCCGCTGTCATCCCCTCAGGGAGAGAGATAGGTTAGATTCCTGATTGCTGAAGGAGGTACCCAGGCTGTCAACTTTTACACATGTGCTGTTTGCTGGGTCTTCAGGGACTTAGACTCAACTGGGCCTCATGTATGCAGTGGACTGCTGTCATCACTTCCGAGAGAGATAGGACAAACCCCTGGTTGCTGAAGTAGGAACCCAGGCTGACAACTCTTACCGGTATGCTGTTTGCTGGGTCTTCCGGGATAAGAGGCTGAACCCTGGCCTGGCTTCATGTAGGCATTATATCACATACTTCCCCTGAGGGGGTACCCAAGCTGGCCTGTTGCTGGGTCTTCAGGGATAAGAGGCTGAACCCTGGCATGCAGTGGACCATTTTCATCCCTTTCATGGGAGAGGTTGGGTCCGACCCCCGGTCACTAAAAGGGGTACCCAGGCCAGCCACTTCACCTTAGTGCGTTTTGCTGGGTCTTCAGGGCTTAGAGGCTGAACCCTGGCACGGCCTAAAAAATATTGCCTGGTGAGCATAAAATAAAAAATCTAGGCCTGCTTAAGCAGACTCCTTCCAAATTGCTGTGAAGGACAGGAAAAAAGACTGCCTGATGGGAAGGGGGAGGATCTATTTATACCAGTTTCAAATTTCTATTTCCTGTCCTTTCTGCTGTGAGGGGAAGAGCTAACCCATGAGTAAATGCTGCCATGAATAATGGTCAGGAAATACAAATACAAACACTGACACATATACAGTTGCACAGACACAATGGCACACATGCAGATACACACTGCCACACATACATATGTACAGATACAAACACTGACACATATACAGTTGCACAGACACAATGGCACACACGCAGATACACAGATACAAACACTGCCACATATGCAGATACACACAGTGACACACATGCTGATACACTGACACAGAGACACTGGTACACATGCAGATACATAGATTCACAGAGGCACACACTGACATATACAGATACACACTGCCACATATACAGACATACGTATAACACTGACATGCACACAGATAACATGACACACAGAAATTCAAACAATGAAACACGCACACATACACACATATATAAATATTACATACATACCCCCAAAAACACACATACAATAAAAATGTTTTAGCCAACCTCCAGTTTTCTAACTTTTGGGTGCAAGAGGGGGGTTCGTGCTGGCTGGGGCTGTTTGGAGTTGAGGGCTTGCTGCTCTTCCTGTCCGCCCGCACTCCCTGAAGATCAGAAGGGGCCTGGTCAAGTTGTTAACAGTGACAGTGTGGGGGATGGTGACAGTGTGTGGTGGGGCAGTTTGTAGGAGAGCAACAGTGGGGACTGTGAATGTGTGTGGGAGGCAGTGTGGGAGAGTGACAGTGTGATGGGGCAATGTGTTGGAAAGTGACAGAGGGGATGGTGACAGTGTGGTGGGGCAGTGTGTGGGAGAGCAACAGTGGGGATGGTGACAGTGTGTTGGAAAGTGAAACTGGGGATGGTGGCAGTGTGAGGGAGGGGGTAGTGTATGGGACAGTGACAGTGTGGTGGTGAGGAGTGTGGGAGAGTGACATTGGGGATGGTGACAGTGTGGTGGGGCAATGTGTTGGAAAGTGAGACTGTGAATTGCGGCAGTGTGTGGGAAAGTGATAGTGGGGAGGGTGACAGTGTGGTGGGGCAGTGTGTTGGAGAATGACAGTGTGGGAGAGGGCATTGTGTGGGAGAGTGACAGTGTAATAGGGCTGTATATGGGAGGGTGACAGTGTCTGGTGGGGAAGTGTGTGGGAGAGTGACAGTGGGAATGGTGACTGTCTTAGATGGTAACTGTCTTGGATGGTGTGGGAGAGTGAAAGTGTGATAGGGCAGTGTGTGAGAGAGTGATAGTGGGGATGGTGACAGTGTGGGAGAGTGGCAGGGTGACAGTATGTGAGGATGGTGACAGTGGGGATGCCTGACATGTGGTGTGCTCTACTTTGTCCCAGCCTCCCATGCAAAGCCTCTGTCAGCCCTCCAATAAGAGGGCAGGGCTGGAGGCGGGGCCAGGGCAGGGCCAGGGCGGGACCGCGACGGAGGGAGACGGCAAGCTGAGGGTTACATCGGCTTGCAATCAAATTTAGGGCACGGCGACAGTGTGCCAATGATTGGCCCTGCGGATCTCAGTTCTGCCATTACAGAATTTTTTTGGCATACCCCTAGGTGAACTGAATTGTACCCCTGGGGGTACGCATACCACAGGTTGGGAACCCCTGCTATAATGGATCTAGATTTTGTATCCTGGTATATAGCTTTCCTGATCTTAGAGGAAATGTTTCCTTGTTCGCCTTGTGAAAGTTTATCTAAAGGTGATACATTTAATATTGGAACTTTGCAAAGAAAATCTAATATTCTCATCTATGTATATATTGGAGAGACCTGATCTAAATTGGATATCTGAAAACTTACTTATACTCTCAGCAAAGTATATATCCTTTATTTTAACTAATTCCTCTATACAACCCATCACAGCTGGAATAGATACCTCTGGATTTGTCAAGGTCAAGATTATATCATCGCAAACAGCGTTATTTTCTGTTCTTGATTGGCTAAATAGACACCTGAGATGTTTCTAGTTAGTCTAATAAATGCTGCTAAGGATTCTATAGATACAATATAGAGTAAAGGCGCTAATGGACAGCCTTGTTGAGTGCAGTTTCTAATAGGAAACCAGAGAGAATCTAAGCCATTTCCATAGACTTTTGCTGAAGGGCTAGAATAAAGTCACAGTGCAAGATCTCTATATTTTCCTTCAATTCCAAAAGCGGAAAGGGTAGATGATAAAAAAATTCCAATTCATACCCCCCCTCCCCCTTCTCTTCATATCTTTTCCTCCCGACACTCTTGCCCTGTTCTCCTCGCCCTCCATGACCCCCCTCCTTCCCATTTCCCTTTCTCCCACGCACCAACCTACTCCGCAGGGGGAGGGTCCGCGCCACGGTTCCTCCCACCTCCGCTTAACCACCCGGACACGTACAACCAAACATGCCGAAGACTATTTCATGCGTCTCCCTCAACTGTAAAGGCCTCAACAACCCCGCTAAACGACACCAACTACTTCGCTGGGCAAACAGAATCCAGACCCTTCCCCTTAAAAAACAGAAACTACAAAGAATGCCACTTAGCTAACTCCCCAAGTGGAAAACAAAATGGAGTAGCTATTTTTGTCCATAAATCGTGCCCCATCCACTTCACACAAACATTCTCTGACCCCCAGTGTCGATTCTTGACCATAGCAGGGCACTAGAGTAATCACAAGTACGCAATCACATCTATATACACCCCTAATACCTGTCAGGGTGGCGGTCCGGCGCCCGGGACCCAGACACTGTCTGGGCGACGGTGCGTGGACCTGGACCCAAGTATGCCTGATGTTCAGAGTAGGAGTCACAGTGTGGAGGTGGATTAGCAGGGTCTGGTGCAGGGCAACCGCACGCCCCCTGGTGTTGAGCACCAGCGTTTGTGCAGCCACATACCAGAACCCTGATTCAGCTTATGCGGATCCCAGGAACTAGGAGCAGGTAATTAAGCAGACCTCCCAGGAGCTGAATAGGGAGGCTCTATGGAGGCTCTGCAGCAGGGATGTATCCAGTACTGAAGCAAGACAAAACTAGGAGAGCAAGGCACCATACAAGAAAACAAGACCAAACTAGGAGAACAAGGAAAGACTAGAGATAGCACCATGCATGAGAACAAGACAAAACTAGGAGAGCAAGGCAATACTAGAGAACCTAGAACATGTACACAAGACATGAGGAAAACAAGAACATAACATGGGCATGACTGGACAGGACTGTACATGGACTGGGATTACAAAACAAGAGATACCAGGTAAAACAAGAGGAAACATAGCTAAGCACTAATTATGAAAAGTATGGGGATTTAGTCACATTATATGATCATACATTGCACAAGCCTGCCAACAACGCCAATGTACCCCATATCTGGCAGGTCCTACACTGCCTAATGTATGTTAAAACAACCACACTGAACCATAATAGCACTTACCTGCAAGAAAGGGCAGAGGCTTGAAACACTGCTGCAGGTCCAAGCTGAAACAAAAGGAAAGTGGAAAACAAACGGGTGTGGCAACATAAAACAAACATTTAAGTGAATCCAAGAGACTGGGAAATCCAGGGACAGAATATAAAAATGAACCCAGAAACCCAACAACAAAGAAAACCAGACATAGACCAGAAAACCAGAAAAACCAAGCAAGAACAGCAAAAGGGGAACTGGATACCAGAAGCCATTGCCAGAATGATCCGCAGCGAGGAACAGGATGTGACAATACCACCGACTCGCCCTTTTAGGCAGCCCTACAGGCCTATATAAAGCTATTCACCACTCACCATATAATAGTCGGGGAAGACTTCAACGCGGTCCTCTCCCCCCAACTCGATAGAAAACACTCCTCGACTAGCAAAACTAAAACAACCCCCTCTACCAGGACAGACAAGCTGCTCTCGAACTTCGCACTCCAATCCGGCCTCCTGGATATCTGGAGATTACAACACCCCTCGACCTCTGACTTTACCTTCTACTCACATCCACATTTCTCGTACTCGACATGTTCCTAGTTTCCCCTTCACTACTACCCCAGGCCACGACAACCTCCATTGGAACAATCGCGTGGTCCGACCAATCCGTGGTTCTCCCTCACACTTGAGATCCCCCCAAACTGCCATGGTCCTGGCGACTGAACCCCACCCTATTCCATAACCCAGAAATCAGACTGACCATACAACAGGAACTAAAAGACTATTTCACTATAAACAAAGACTCTGTGGTCTCCCTGGGCACACTGTGGGCAGCCCACAAGGTTGTCATAAGAGGCAAATTGATTGCAGTGGCCACTACACACAAACGACAAAAACTAAAATAACTAGAAAAGCACCTACTCTCACTAAGGCCCATAGCAGCCCAACATAAACAGAGACCCACTCCGACATTGATGGCCCAGATCAAAATCCATCAACAAGCCATCAAATCATACATTGCCAAAGACTCCCAAAAAGCCCTCCAATGGACTAGGCAGCTCTTCTATGAAAAATCCAACAAGGCGGACACCCTTCTCGCCCGTAAACTCTGCCTCAAAACCCAAACCAAACACATAAATAAAATCAACTTGCCCAAAGGCAGCACTTACAACATCCCCAACCACATAGCCTCAATCTTCTCCAACTATTTCTCATCGCTATATGACCACAACCCAGACATCTGCCACCGCCAACCTCACTTTCAAAAGGAAATAGAATCTTATCTCAAGGAGATCCCCTCCCTTCACTAACGAACACAGCGATAGAAGAACTCTCCTCTCCCATTACAGCTGAAGAAACCGCAAACACACTGAAAACAATAAAACCAAATAAATGCCCAGGAACGGACGGCTTTACAGGCCTCTACTACAAGACATTCTCTGATGTTCTAATACCCCACCTCACCACACTCTACAACTCACTCCTCCACGGGGAACCCTTACCAGCAGATATGCATAGAACAAACATCTGCCTCATCGCGAAACCAAACAAAACACACTTGGACCCAGGACACTACGGACACATATACCTCCTTAAAGGACCACTATAGTGCCAGGAAAACATACTCGTTTTCCTGGCACTATAGTGCCCTGAGGGTGCCCCCACCCTCAGGGACCCCCTCCCGCCCGGCTCTGGAAGGGGAAAAGGGGTTTAAACTTACCTTTTTCCAGCGCTGGGCGGAGAGCTCTCCTCCTCCTCTCCGCCTCCGTTCCGCCCCGCCGGCTGAATGCGCACGCGCGGCAAGAGCTGCGCGCGCATTCAGCCCGTCGCATAGGAAAGCATTTACAATGCTTTCCTATGGACGCTGGCGTGCTCTCACTGTGAAAAATCACAGTGAGAAGCACGCAAGCGCCTCTAGTGGCTGTCAATGAGACAGCCACTAGAGGCTTTGGGGGAAGGCTTAACCCATTAATAAACATAGCAGTTTCTCTGAAACTGCTATGTTTATTAAAAAATGGGTTAACCCTAGCTGGACCAGGCACCCAGACCACTTCATTAAGCTGAAGTGGTCTGGGTGCCTAGAGTGGTCCTTTAATGTGGGTATGAAAATCTTTACAAAGATCCTAGCCAACCAAATCGTGCCCTTCCTCCCGACACTCGTTCATTCCAACCAGGTAGGTTTCATCCCCTCAAGACAAGCGTGCAACAATACAAGACGCACACTAGATCTGATCTGGGTGGCCCACCATAGACAGATCCCAACCCTACTCCTCTCGATGGATGCTGAAAAGGCATTTGATCACCTGCTCTGGCCTTTTCTTTTCGCCACCCTACAGAAATTCAGATTCCCCGCACCCATCATCACGGCCCTAACAACCCTATAGCTACACTCCTCATCCCTAACGCGAAACCACTTGAATACGCAATCCAAAATGGGACGAGACAAAGTTGCCAACTATCCCCACCCCTATTCGCCCACTCCCTAGAGCCCCTACTCCAAAACATAAGCAATTCCCCAACAATACACGGTTTGAAAATCAGGAATGACGAATACAAAATTGCAGCCGACGCCGACGACATCCTCTTAACTATCACTGATCCCAGCCAATCCCTACCGCCTCCACTCGCACTCTTACAAGAATATGCGAACCTCTCAGGGTACAAACTGAACCTGGACAAAACGGAAGCACTTTGCATAGGAATACCACAACCAACTCTGGACCACATAAGACTAACACACACAGCATTCACTACCTGGGAACACACCTCCACACAGACCTCTCCAAAACATACACCCTAAACTACACACCATTACTCCAATAGGCACAAATTGATCTGCAAAGATATGTAACAGGGTTGATGTTCCAGGAGGGATAAGCCAAATGACAAATGATTTAGGTAAACTAGAAAAATGGTCAGAATTGTGGCAACTGAGATTTAATGTGGATAAGTGCAAGATAATGCATCTTGGACGTAAAAACCCAAGGGCAGAGTACAGAATATTTGATAGAGTCCTAACCCCAACATATGAGGAAAGGGATTTAGGGGTGATTATTTCTGATGACTTAAAGGTAGGCAGACAATGTAATAGAGCAGCAGGAAATGCTAGCAGAATGCTTGGTTGTATAGGGAGGGGTATTAGCAGTAGAAAGAGGGAAGTACTCATGCCATTATACAGAACACTGGTGAGACCTCACTTGGAGTATTGTACACAGTACTGGAGACCGTATCTTCAGAAGGATATTGATACCTTAGAGGGTTCAGAGAAGGGCTACTAAACTGGTTCATGGATTGCGGGATAAAACTTACCAGGAAAGGTTAAAGGATCTTAACATGTATAGCTTGGAGGAAAGACGAGACAGGGGATATGATAGAAACATTTAAATATATAAAGGGAATCAACACAGTAAAGGAGGAGACTATATTTAAAAGAAGAAAAACTACCACAACAAGAGGACATAGTCTTAAATTGAGGGACAAAGGTTTAAAAATAATATCAGGAAGTATTACTTTACTGAGAGGGTAGTGGATGCATGGAATAGCCTTCCAGCTGAAGTGGTAGAGGTTAACACAGTAAAGGAGTTTAAGCATGCGTGGGATAGACATAAGGCTATCCTAACTATAAGATAAGACTAGGGACTAATGAAAGAATTTAGAAAATTGGGCAGACTAGATGGGCCGAATGGTTCTTATCTGCCGTCACATTCTATGTTTCTATGTTTCAAAGATGGAATCCCATGTCCATATCCTAGCTAGATAGCCTCTATAAAAATGAACCTCCTCCCCCGGTTCCTCTTTCTGTTCCATGCCTTATCCATCCCCATATCCAAGCATGACTTCAAAGCACTCCAAACAAAACCAAGGATAAAGAGGTCCACGATGTACAAAACCACTAAAACTGGAGGCCTGGGTCTCCCAAACTTCTATCACTACTTTCAGGCTGCTCAACTGGCGCAAATACAAAACCTACATGCACAACCAGGAGGTAAACTATGGGTGGACCTCGATCCAGGCAGGAATCCACAAGACCGGCAGGCATCTCGCACTGACCATGCAAACAGCGAGAATACAGACCTCCAGAAGGACAATGAACTCAAACAATGCTCCTCGCCCTGATGCATTTTGGTGGTAAAATATCTGACACTGTGGTGGGAGGTGGGGAGATTTTACTTGTGAGATGTACTAGGCATAACCTACCACTGTATTTTGTCCTGACTCACATACACACAACCAGTACTCTTATTATGACACCATATGACGTGAACTGAGACCCTGTCCTCCCACACTTAGTAACAAAACCCTGCCTAAAGCTTCATAGATAATATATTTCATGAGGGAGGAGGGGAAGGGGGGGAATACAAATTACGAACACTTATGGGAATAAATACATAAAAAAATTAAAATAAAAATAATCATAATATATTTTAAAATAAATAAATAAATAAAACAGTTCCAAGGCAGTTATGCCGAATTGAAACAACGACACTGAGGGCATGGGATCAGATGAAAAACTTGGATCCCCCTAAATACATAGAATAAAGTAATACCCAGACAGCCCATATAGACAGGTAAAGCAAGACAAACTCTCCATGCCCGAATTCTAAGATGGAACTGACTCATGGGGACACACGGACGATGGGGACAACCCTGAATAATACGAGACTGGATAACATATACATACAGGGACTGCCGGGGGAGACCTGTTCACTACCCATTACTGCTCACATGCAGACAGTCATGCACCCTCTGTATCTTTTTACCTATGTTCTTTACCAATGGTTACACAGACTGCACTATTAGCACATAGTAAACCGGCTTAGGATACTGAAAGCAAAAGGGAACATGGGATTGCTTGACAAAATTTGAAGTTTTTTTCTTTTTATCTAAACGTAATTGTTGTTGTTCTCCAATTATACACTGTTGTTTTGTACCTTACACGCAAACACTGCTTGGTCGTGGTACCCCATTGGTTGAGGTTGTCGCTATAGTGAGGGGGCGGCTCCTGGTTCTCGACTGGTGCGGACACCCTCCGACACCCGTTACCTTACCCAACACTGGTTAGCTCTGCACACACTCCACTTGGTGGGGACAAAGCCCTCCCTGCGAGGGGGCCTGGAAGATTTATCTAGCTCAATTTCCACGCCCATACTCGGGCTCCAATACACACCCCCCTAACCCCCCCCTCCTTCTTTCCCTCTCTTCTACCTTACGTATGGCGCTCTCTGCCGCAACAACATGTGAGCCTACTCACCCTCGCCTCATGCATAGCCAACGCTTGTGAGTATAGCAGCGAGATGACGACCACCCAGACTTACCGAACGGCACCCATCAACCTCCTCTCCATAAATGCTAAAGGCCTTAATATACAGGGAAAAACATTTCCCTGAGCTATTTCCATAGCTTTAAATCACACGTAGTGTTCATCCAAGAGACACACTTCTGTGAAGGGCACGCTGCCAAAATGATGAATAGCCGCTACACACAATGCTTCATGAGTAACAACCTAGACGGAAAAATCCAAGGGCACTGCCATCTTATTACATAAATCCCTACAATTCCAACACAAAGAGACGCTGGCAGATAAAGGCGGGAGATATATATGCATCAAGGGCTCAACTTATATGTACTTAACACCAAACAAGACCGCTTTACAAAATCAACCCTGCGAACGATTGAGGGATTCGCTGAAGGGTGCCTCATCATCAGGGGGTTCTTAATGTTGCTCTAAACCCACACCAGGTCACATGCACAGGCACCTCCGCAATACCCGCACACATCTTATAAAACATAAACAACTCCCTTCTGGACCACAGACTAGTGGACTGCTGGAGGGCCACACACTCCAAAAGTAGGGACTTTACTTTCTTTTCAACCCCTAACCAACCACTCATACTCTCTCCTGGATTATTTCTTCCTCCCCCACTATTACCTAACAGACTTACAGACCATCCACATAGGCAACACCACATGGTCCGACCATGCCCCACTAATGATGGCCGTGACATCCCCACTGTATAGGCCCACAACGATGAACTGGAAACTCAATGAATCCCTCCTGATGGATCCGCTGACTCTCCAAGAGATTTGTATCTCCCTTACGACATATTGTGAAGAAAATGATAGAGAAGAAATTACACCGATGTGCCTCTGCGATGCCCACAAATGTGTCATAAGAGGGGCACTTAGAGCAAAGGGCTCCTCTATTAAAAGAGAATGGAAGGCACGCTTTGTGGCAAATTCACCCATTTAAGGGAATTTGCCAGGAGTTTTTGGAGGTGCCTGCTTGCTCACCTCCTGCCCTGTGACTATGGCCCCTGGGGGTATTGCCCTTTAAAGACATCATTTGGGCATAATGGATTTTTTTTATTGTGCTGCTACTGGCCCTTTAAGCACAGCGTATGGACTTCTGTGGGACTGTGTATGGCCCTTTAAGAACTGTATGTGGGCATTTTGAGACTTTTTGGGACAATGCCCCTTTAAGACAGTGTCCCCAGACTTGTTGGGGACAATGCCCCTTTAAGACTATGTCCCCAGACCTTTAAAATACTTTGCTTATGGCTTCTTACCACTTGGTTCAGTAAATGGGGCTTACTGAACCAAGTGCGGTACAGGTGGACCACCCAGAACTGTAAGTGTGCAGGCAATTTACCTCCCAAGCTGGGAGCCTGCTGTAGGTAAATTGCCGACCGATGGGGGGTTGCCGTTCGTGCAAACGAACACATAGCGGCGGCCATCTTTTTTCAACCAAACGCGGTCAGCGGTGTGTGTAGCCAAATTCATGGAACTGAAATCGGCTACACAGTTCCACGAACACCGCTGACCCTTACCTTCTCCTAAACTGATTTTTTAGCCGCAGGGACTAAGTCCCGTTCGGCGATGGGACTTAGTCATTTGTTCAGTGTGAAATTGACCGACCGCTCAGCCCAAATCTATGGAACTGTTATGGGCATGAAAATGTGCTTGCGGTCGGTCATAAAGGACTTCCGACTAACTTTTTACCCCCTGGAAGGAATCACCTGAATTTTGGATATGTTTATATTTGGAGTGTGCTGAATAATATGTCATTTTTATGAATATTGAATGTATAGTTTTAAAGTTATAGTACAGTAAAAACTGTAAAAACTGTATTTCTCTGCCTGTGCTAATTACATTAACCCATTGTGTTCAGTAATTATATAACAGGCAGAAGGGGGGATTTTGTGTGTAATTGCTGGGAGTGTCTGAGTGTATTGTTCGTATTGATTGGTTGTTCTGCAAAACCCTGTGGGCAGTACTATGTGTGCAAAATGTGCATAAAAGCAGAGTGATTAAAAGCTTCAGTTCTACTTCACCCTCAATTTGGAGTGCCGTCTCTTATTGGGGGAATCTGCTACAAGGGATTGCTATGCTAGTCATACTCTCTTGCTATATCACTACTAAGCTCTTGTAAGAGCTTGTTCCTGTCTTGCTCTCTGAAGGAGTCTACGGTGGTTATGGTGTCGGCTGGAGTGCTTGGAGCCCTCAGAAAGTGCTAGGAGCATCCTTCAACGGAGGTACTGTTACACGCTTAACTTACCTATTACAGGAAATTCAACAACTTGAGGGGACCCACAAACAGACTGGTTGACCTGACGACTGGCGCAAACTGACAACCCTACAAAGGGAACTCTCAACACTACTCAATCACTCATACCATAAAAAATGGTCATGCAAACAAAAAACATTTTTCTTCGTTTGGCTGTCATATTGGCCCGAATGAGAGCCAAAAGGCGAGCGAACGTCTACATACCCAAAATCCGAGACAAACACAACCGACTGAAACTCTTATCTACAGACATAGCCGGTGCCCTTCATGGATATTACTCTGACCTATTCTCAGTATCCACACAACCTGCAAACCCACCCAGAAACAGACACGCAACGGACATTAAGGAATACCTAGACTGACACTTATGTAAACGTTTGGATCTGCAGAGGCGATCCAATAGTTAGAAGAGCCCCTCACGGCAGAAGAACAAGCCTTCGCTTTGAAACTCGCAAACATGGGGAAATGCCCATGGCCAGATGTCTGTGGGCTACTATAAAAAATACGCAGACATACTCAC